ATTGAATCATATGCAGAATATTCACAATGGACACGATTCTGATCTATTTCCTTCATGTGCCCACAGACTACGACTGCAGTTCTATCGAGTCTGTCTGTTAAATGATCTTCATCAGAACATTCCGAGTTGTCGCCCTCAGAACTGTTGTCCCAAAACAGCTCAAACATGTATGGTTCTAGTTCATTTCTTGAAATAGTTGAATTCAAAATCATATATTCCATGTCTTCGCTACTTTCAAACGAAGAAAAAGAGCAGGAGAGCTCAATGCTTTTTGCGCTCGAGCTATCAGTATCACTTGTATCCGCCATAGATAACGCCATTGTCACTGACGGCTATGAGGAATAAGTTCTACTTATTATGTCACGCACTTACATTGTATTTGTCACGTGACTCCCGTTTTTTCGGGCAGACGGCGGACGAGGCTAGATGTGGCACAGTTTTTAGCCTATTTTCGAAAAATGGCTCGAATTTGATCGGGTAAACAACATTTTTTAGACAGTTCATACTATGATATATCATTTGGTGTCGTTAAAAGGGGGTTGTTGTACTTTAATTATTTTTTTCTTGCAAGCTAAACTTATGTAAACGACATTAGAGCATTAAATTTATATGTCAATTCTATTCTTTCTTTTTCTTACATATACATGTATATATTTTTTTCCTTAATATGGGATTGTACAAACTTTTTTAATTTATATCTTGTCTTGCGATAAAGATTTATTATTATTACTTTTAGAGAAAACTCTGGAGAACTGTTGGCCGTCAATATTTGTGTTTCGAGAATATTTGCTATTTCAAGACGATGTAATTTTGTTTTTTTGTCATAAATAATAATGAGGAAAAAAGACAAAACTACTTACTCTTATTCTGGTTTGACTCCTAAAAATGAATGTTTTCTCAGCATTACAGAAACCTGCAATAAAACTGAAGATTATATAATCATGTACTGTCTTGTTCTTTCTACTAAAATGCTCTATATCTGGTGTGTGAACTTCAAATACAAATAAACACCACACACTTATGTAAATATTAGTGGTACATCCCTATCTAAATTTTGATGACAAAACACCTTACTCAGAAGTAAAATATTTAATATAAAAGTTTCACAGCCAATATGCTATATTTTCTTTTAGGGGAACTAGCCAGGTGTTCAATAACTTTTTAAGCACAGTTACCATTGAGTTGAAAACATACGGTACTATTAAACTCTGATTACTTCAATGTCACAGTCAATAGCAGTACAGGGTTTGGACATGACATTTAGAATCATCATTCATGTACTCTCAGCACTGATGCAACAATGTGAGAGCTGCTGGGTCAAAAAGTGAAACTCATGAATATGTTTACAACTGGAGAATGATATTGAGTATAGTATCAAAATGAAGACATTTTGGTTGCTAGGAAATAATTGCTTTCAGGATTTGTATTAAATAAGATTTCATGGTAATGATAGCAACAGATTTGTAAGCACTTTCCTGTTGCCACCGTTCACTGCTACAAATAGGTACTAGTCTGATTTCCGATACAGGACGATTAATGTTTTTTTTTTAGATATGATTTCGGGTTCACTTTCCCTATTAAGAAGAACAAATTTTGACCAATTTTGCAATAATTATTTTAATGGATGTATATATTTTAGTAGTACATACTGGTACATGTACACTCATCATATATTAGTAAGAGAACTTACTATACAAGTTATAATATACTAGGGCAGAAGAAATCACTATTTTTCATTGCCATAATTATGCATATTTCCTATCTCATGCAGGAATCCTAATACAGGTAAATATGATTAAAATTGTAGATTTTACAATATTACAGTTTGTTCTTGTGGATTGTTGGTATTTGTTTGTTTTGTGTCATTAGACTTGTTCATTTTCTTATACTGTTACAGTACTTCTTTTGCACAAAAAACAATTTCCACTCTGCAGTATATCATATGATTGTAATGTGAATATCCTTCATTAATACAGTATGGTGAACTCTATCTTCGATCCTACCCATGATTCTTGAGACCCATGTTGACTATGTCCAAGCTGTCCACAGCTAGGTTATGATTTCACACACATAGATTGAGAACCACAAATGTATGGTGAACTCTATCTTCGATCCTACCCATGATTCTTGAGACCCATGTTGACTATGTCCAAGCTGTCCACAGCTGGGTTATGATTTCACACACATAGATTGAGAACCACAAATGTATGGTGAACTCTATCTTCGATCCTACCCATGATTCTTGAGACCCATGTTGACTATGTCCAAGCTGTCCACAGCTGGGTTATGATTTCACACACATAGATTGAGAACCACAAATGTAGACACATTACATCAAAATGATGACTAAATACAGCTACCCTGGACAGCTTTAGAATCATCAATCGCCATACATTGAATGTTGTCAATTTTGTGAGTGTGGTACAATCAAAGTAGTGATGACCAGGAAGTCCATTCTGTGCTAGTACCATTGTCAAATTTTGGAGAGTCAAGAATTATTTATTCCTTCTTAAACTTTTGTAACCATTGCCAATCCCTCTGAACAATGTGTAAGTGTTAATAAATTATTATTATTATTATTATTATTATTATTATTATTATTATTATTATTATTATTATTATTATTATTATAATACAGGAGAACATTTTTCGATTGCCATATCAGGGGAACTGAAATTTGGGATGTAATACATGCAATAGCCAAGGATGCAAAGAACTGCATTTCAAAAACATATTTTAAATATTATATACCCTAATATAATTATATATTTACTAACAACTTTTTTTTAAGTTTAAGTAATTGTGAAAGCCCACAAAATAAAATGTACGAAATAATAAAAACAATCACAACATAAAAAAAATATATAGTAAAAATTAAATTAAATTCATGCTGTACAAAACATCATATTTTAATCAGATTAGACTGAAACATGATTCGCTTATTGTGCTATTTTGTTTTTTTACAAACTAGAAAGAATAATGTCGTCTGCACGTGCGAGTTCTTTTTATATTGGTAACAATACAATCAAGCTTGATGCAGAGAAAATATAGTACTATCGGAAAGCACATGTCCTCACAACAATTTATTTATTATTTTTTTATTTTATTTATTTATTTATTTATTTATTTATTTATTTATTTATTATTAATTAATTAATTAATTTATTTATTTATTTATTTATCACACAACATCCCCCAGAGGGGATGAAAAGGGTTACAAATCAGATATTAGTAAAAGAAAAATAACAATATTTACTTTCCTATGTTTACATTTTTCAGAACAATAATTAATTACACTATAATCTTGAAATATGAATGATTTGATTTGACAATTGACAGATTAACATATTGCAAAGTGTGATACAATATAGACGACAAGGTCAGTCTTCGGGTGCTGTCGGATGCACGATCAGTGCGTAACCACAATTAATTAACTTGTGGGACTAATCTACCGCCCACCACTCAGAATGGCTGGATTCCGTATTGTCCTGCGTAGATAGCCGTTTTAGAGGTGATAATTACTAGTACATTGGGAATGTTGTTTGGTGTCGATAAGTCCCCGATAAAGGATGGGTACCTGGACCACATTCGAAGCACAGACTGAGCTATGATCTAAGAATGAGAGTAGCAATTATCATTTCTTCATCACACGGAATAACTTGGGCTCCATGATACCTGATATTAAGCTAGACTATTTAAAATACAAAAAAGTCACGACAGAATGACAATTACTACTATCTCGCTAGCTAGACTGAATGCATACGTTCAGAAAATACCCACCTGGCCAGATCGTTTCACATGTAAGCTGCCATCTTGCTTTAGATGACACTACCACATTCCTCAAAATGGGTTACCCACAATCCAAAGAAACATGAACTTTGACCTTATATCGAAGGTTGTAGTCATAATCTTGTGATCAGAGAGGGAGAGAAGACTTGTTTTCATCGTTTCAAACAGTTTTAGCCAAATTTCCGACACGATGATGCCCAAAATACCCCTCAAGGTATTCGAATAATTATTTTGCTAAAATGTATTATATGCACCTATGATTTTTCAGCTGATTATTGATATTTTACAGAAGTGCTTGTTTTTACTGTATTTTATTTTTTATTCGGTCCTGGATTGAATTGAGATAAAATGTAACGTTACATGTTAATATTTATTTATCACATTCACGCTATAATTTAGTGGACGACTCGTGGTTGTTTATATTGTATATCTTACTAAAGTGTTTTTTTCTTTGATTTTCAGGCCATCGTGCTTGTACATTTCGTCTTAACTGTCTGGTAAGTGTACCCTCGCTTGGCCCCTAATCGTCGGCGATATTATGGTCTACGCTACTCAAATAACCAGGCACCGGTGTATCAAACGAATACCATTTTGATATTCTCAAAAATGTTTTGTACATTACATTAATATACATTTATTTATTTATTTATTTGCTACCAGTATGTAATTACAATTATTCTAGTTATGCCGATATTTGTCGGTTGTATGACGTCACATATTGCTTGACCTGAGACGTCTTATTTTGTAAACATGTTACCATAGTATTTGGTAATACTAGTACTAGTACCGGTAGTTCGTATATTGAAAATGAATTGGAACATATTATATATTTTATTTGCAGTAACCCTCGTGCAGGCTTGATGTGACCCATAACAGTTAACCCCAAACAAACAAAAACCCCATTGTTGTTTTTTATGTGTGAAAACATTCAGTGAATAGATTCCTTGTGTATTTCGTTTTGATCGTCATGTTTACTGTTTCTGATCAATATGGATCTGTGTCAAATCTTGTGGTTTGAGCTTGATCAATTTAACCAACATAATTTTGTGATTTCTACCTTGATTTGTGAAATTCATATATATATATTTTAAATTATCACATTATTCACAGTTTTGCATCCGGTTTTACTCATGTCCGTGTTAAAACTGCCTCACATATTTATTTTTTCAATTGCGCTTACAAGTGAAATGTACCATATATGGTAAAGTGGGAAAATGTTTTCTGTTTCGAAGGATGTTTTGTCAATCCATATCAAGACATGTATTTGAAAGCATTAATTAATAAATGTTGAAAATTTATCTTCTTGTTGCTTGAATAATCTTAAAACAAATTCAAATGCATAATTTTTTATGAGATGCAACACTTTTTGTGTCAAGCAATAGTCATGGACATTGAATGTCACTGTTGTCTCTCCTGACTTTTTTATGTGAATTTGTAAGTCTGAGTGGTGGTGACATGTAGTGCATTTTGTCACCAAGACCGTATTCCTGTTTTGGGACTACATGACAAGGCTGTGTGACCATCTTCCTATCATAATGGCATTATGGCAATTCAATGTGCTATCCTGGTGTCAACCAGGCCCTGTCAAACACCTTGACCTTAAAACCAAGGTTCCCCCAAACTGGGATTCATTACTCTGTGACACACTCACCCAGGGTAGGGGAGGAGAGGGTTAGTGGTGTGACCCTTTTTAATGTTCAATATCTTTTTCATCTAGTGTGAAATATCTCTCACTTATATGATATGGTGAACGTCACAGTTTTGAAGTTTGAAATATTACATATACCATTTTTTCAAATTTGTTAAATTTGCTAAATTCTGATGCTTAAATGTCCATGCCAATTCCTTACTGATATATTACCATTTCGTCTAGAATCAGAAAGAAATTCGAACAGCCTGTAAATGTGTCGAAATTTTTTCTGTTACTGTAATATTAGGAACATGAATATTAAATAAATTGTTTTGTTTCTTCTTTAATAGTTGGTATTGTTTCCACCAGAATTTTAGTCAGTACTTTCCGCACACATTGGAGTCTTTGCAATGAGTGTGGTTGTATGTATGTATCTGCGTGTGTGTGTGTGTCTGTTCATTCCACTAATAATCTTAAGAACCATATGAAACTTGATGTATAGATGTTCTGGGCTAATGTGCAGATTTGATTTTATTGGGGGTTAAATCCATGCATATTAACTACCCAATTTGTATGATTATTAGCTAATTTTTAATAATAATCACATTTCAATGAAATTTTGTACATTGATAGTCTGTGACATTGCGCAGATATTATTAATTTTACATTAAAATTTGTGAATATCAATTACCTGATTTGCATAATAATTATTTTTCAGCTTTTCCATCATTATATGTATCTCAAGTACTTATCATTTTTTTGCTGTTTCATTCCTAAAACTTGTTTGTATTCAAAATTAATTATGACAGTGCATATTCATATTTAATCAAACTAGGATAAAGGAAAGGGCAAGATCACCAGAGTTTAATCAGATACAAGATGACTGAGTGTCAATCATTTCAATGTTAAAAAATCATCATAACAAAGCATCATCTTCTGGATCCATGGATCTCTGACATATTTATGTTTGAACTATATCACTATAAACAAAACTATATCTTAAATTGTATAACTAATGGGGTCTGTGCAATGCATGGATTGTTTGATTGATTTCAAACTTAGATATTGTCAATCTGCGATAAATCCCAAAGTTTGATTTTGAGTAGCACTGTTTTGTATTTACAGGGGAACACAGGCGTACCTTAACGGCAGTTGCTGGATCTCGCCTTCCTATGCATATATGAATTTCTTTGTCTTAGCAATAGGAATATGGGCTGTAGCTAATAAAGAAAGCATTGATTCAATACTATTGGTAAGTTTTTAAATTCTTCAGATTCTCTGTCAACAACTTTCTGAGCTTGCATTCTTTTTTATTGTGTCTCATTTTTAAAAACGCTTTAACTTTTGTTGCTATCATTCTATGTAATACCATAGCTTAATCTTAATGAAATATAACATTTTTGCAGTTTTTGCAAAAACCCATGAAAATTGCGGTTGATATTGAAATCCAATGATCTAATCAGATACACGCTCAAATATGATTAGTTGCTAGAAAAAACATAAATCTTCACATAAACACTGCAAGTCACTCCACACATACAAAAATCACTAGGGAAACAAATCAGCTGGTGATATGTTAGTTATATGATGTGTTAGATGTTATCTGTGTGTTCACATAAAATAAACATTCAAATGTTATAGCTCAGCATCTTGTTACTTTAATCTGCTAATTTGCCCAGTTTAAGATGAATAACAGTTCAAATTTCGACTCATTTGGTTTTTAAAGTCCAAAATATAAAATACAATACCGGTAGTTGTGTTCATGCTACATACAAACTAAAGCTACTTCCATATGTGTGTGTATCAGCTATACACAGTTGTGTCCACAGAGAGGGGCCTACAGTAGTATGAACTAGAGGACCAAACTTAGGAAGAAAATAAAAAATGCCAATTATTTTAGTGCCTGTTTAGGCCTAGTCAAAGGGAATTTATGTTTTTACCTCTTTCAGTTCATTTGTGTGCCTCCACCTTTAACTCAGACATGTTTTGACCAATCGTGTTCAAACATGACATACATCATTTCACACATGTGCATATTTATTCATTTGGTTACCCAAAGTTTGGCATTGGCATATATTGTTCAAACTTTGTATATGTTTTATGGGACTGCCGACTGGTAGCCATTTTGTTTCAGTGAATGTAGTTTTGAAGCCATATTTCTGACATTCTCTGACTGTTAATGTTTATACTTTATATATTTCTTGAGAACTTACAAGTACAATGTACTGCAATTGCTTGTTAACTTTTATTTCTCTGTATAATAACCCAACATTTTAGCTCTATTGTTATACAACTATACAATAACAATGCAAATTCAGAAATAGAAAGTTGCAGAATAATACAAAGTGGTACAAAATATCATCCTCCGTTCATTTTTTTTGTTTATAATAATAATATACATGTATAATATAATAATAGGTGAGCTTATGTTGCTTTTTTGTCCTCATAGCTTCAAAAGTAACAAAGAAATTATAGAAAAACACCAACAATTGTTGACTAATCAAACGTTTTTGTTTCTAATTTTATTATAATTTTCTTTTTTACAGTTTTTGGTTCTCACATTTGTCAGTATAATCATGGATATGATTCTTGATTGGAATTTACTATTCTCGTGGTTTTGACTTATTCTACACATCACCACATTTGGGTGAATTCCGATTTAGTGCTGGAATGGCTATATTAAATCTGCTGTTGAAACCTTTTACATGTATCCTACTTTACCACCAGTACCGTGAACGTGGTGGTGATTATAACATGGGACTACCAGGAGGCCATCCCGCTGGCAGTGGTTATGAAAACATAGATCAACCTATACCCAGTAATAGCCAGGTAGAGGCTGCCCATCCTCATTCCTCTATTCACGATGTTAGTAAACCACCTCTTCCTGAGTAATATACTCTGCTAAAAAATCTGTCTAAATACTTGCGTGTCATCCTCCACTCTTTAAAATGGTTTTATTTTTAGTGAGCAGATACTGGTAAGGCACATGTTCAAAAAAGTTTTCACTTTAAATTATATATTTAATTGTCTGTTTCACGACATTATAATGGCTAAAGCTAAGATTTACTATCTTTAGGTGACAACCACCAGTGAATAGTCAAAATTGTTGGCCAATGTGCAATGATTCGAAAATTCATAGATCTTGGCAGATTTTTAAAAATATTTTTGAGCCTCCTTCGGTCACTTCACCTTAGGTGTGTAAAATGCATACACACATACATGTTAAAAAAAAAATTGATGGTTTTATTGTAAGTATTTATTGTATCGTTACTAATCATAGTATCAGGAACAGGAAATGCAAAAACAAATATTATGATTTAGATGCATATTATGGAAATGTTGTTACCTGCCAGTCATTGCTATTCTAATACTGCCAAATAATACTATTTAGTGAAGGGGTTGGGGATGACACTAACTTTCAACAAACATGTCATATGTTCTATTCATAATGTTACAGACTTCTCTGAACCGGGTTTGGACAGATTATACTGTAAAATTTTTCTTGGTCACTAACTGGAATAACACAATATGGCGGCTTATATCCCATCATGCACTGCATTCTCCCTTTGCATGCTGGGATAGATTGTTCTCGGCCTAGATCATTCCTCTCTCGTGGCAAGCAATAAATCTTAGACACAAATGGCATCAAGATTTTGTTGAGTCTTGTAATTGTCCCTCTTCAATCATTGCATCTTCTGCTTCCCTAAACTATGTAACCATGGTGATTGGATTACTAGACAGCAGGATAGAAAGGAACACTATTGGAGGTGTAAAAACAAGTCTCATGACACTCTTGGTGGACATTTGTGTTAAAGTAAATTTATAGTTTACTCATGTGTAACACTGGTGTGTAAAATAAAATGGAACTTATGCATGACCCTGTTACACATCTTTGTACTTTCCTATGAAGTTAATAAGTATAATAATGTACATACAGTGTTTATCTGACTAACTACATGTACTTTTTTGTCGAAAGAATTTTCATTGCAGTGAATTCATATTCACAGAAAGTACCAGGATGTGTGACCTTTTGAAGGTCATTCATATAACTGATTGGGAATTATTAAAATCTGAGTGACAGTTACTCTTCTGGGTTTGGAATTAAAGATCTTTTGTGTTCAGGAGAAGATATTTACATCACTCAAGGCCTGAAATATCTGCTAGTTTTTGTTATGGCCATAGTAATGAATTATGAGTGATGCTCAGATCTATAGTTTGATGCCAATCTGTAATCATGCCACCATTAGCTCTGTTGCTATGCCAACATCCAAATGAATTTTCTTTGGTTAAAAGGATGCTATCAAAGACGCATGGTTAAAATAGTCACCAACAATCATTATATTGCATGGTTAATGGGGTATGGCATCAATCACCAACTCAAACAATACTGTCACTGATGCATGATTTAATTATGAACATGGCTAAAACACTTTTGACACAGAATATTTATGAAAATTGAAATTATTTCTTAGGGTGCCCGTACTAGGTAATTATGAATCTAATCTGCATGTACTAATTCTATAGGAAAATCAGGAACTCATTGCTTTCATGAAGACAAGTTTCAGTACCCCACTTTGTATTTGGTCACTCAGTAAAACACCAAGAATTCATAGTGCTTTTAAACTTTCCACACTTTTACTGTGTTTATCTTTGAATGCTGCTGTATATCTAGATTATTTTGGATAAATTGTTGCATAAAAGTTTGATAGTATTGCTTGATTCACACACGAATGTCAACCATGTGTACTCGTATTTTTCATAAAAATATTTGTTTCACTAACTGGTGTAATTAGACCAATCTATCCATTATACATTTCCAGTGATAAGTTTTACAATATTTATATAATCAGGTAAATCAACAGATTGAACTCAGTCACAAAGGTTTAGTATTGTATTGTTACATAGTGGCAAACATGTTAATTGTTTGATTTCATCACTAAAAAACACTTAAAAAAAAAATTCCAATGTGGTTTATAATCAGTCTAATCTACCCATAATTCAATGTGGTTTATAATTAGTCCAATCTACCCATAATTCAATGTGGTTTTTAATCAAGCTAATCTACCCATAATTCAATGTGGTTTATAATCAATCTAATCTACCCATAATTCAATGTGGTTTATAATTAGTCTAATCTACCCATAATTCAATGTGGTTTTTAATCAAGCTAATCTACCCGTAATTCAATGTGGTTTATAATCAATCTAATCTACCCATAATTCAATGTGGTTTATAATCAATCTAATCTACCCATAATTCAATGTGGTTTATAATCAACATTGTTTATGCAAATTCAGTCATCTGAAAAAATAAACAGTTCAGCACTATTTCATTTTATTTTTCTAAATATGTAATGAAAAGTCACCCAAGCCATTGTATAGTTTGAGGTGTTTTAGTTGTGAGCTATGCATTTCTTAAATCAACCAAACAATCTAAAGTCCAAATGAGAATAAGGATTATTATTATGCTGTAAAGGTTTTAGTAAAATCAGAGCTAACTATTTATGCATGGTTATATTAGTTTCACTCATTGGATTTTTTTTTTTATTCTTTTTTTATTCATTTTGTTTTGCTTGAAGAAATACTGAACCAGAATAGGACTGTTCCTTCCTTTCATTGTGGTGTTAGAATCTGTATCCTGATCATCATCATCATCATTGTCGTCATGGTATTTCTACATCACTATAAAGATCCTGTCTGCTGCACATGTGTGAAAGTTACCCAGTATTTCTTAAATTTTATGCATTTGTTTATGCTTTATTTTTCTATGTTATTTTGTTTTATGCAAGTCATTGACACAGATAATATAAAAGTCTTTAATTACAATATAGTTGATGATTTTTAAATCTTCTACTTGTGCTTGCCATTTTTCAGCATGTCCTATTTCTCTTATATTTCTTCTGCTCATGTGCCTGGACTCCCTAGGCTGATTACTTTAATTAGTTGGATACCCTAGCTTAGCCTATAAATTCTGGCTTACATGCACTTACTAACCATTTTCTAGTGGTTGTTTTTTTTGACTGTTGTATTTAAGTATGTCTTACCATTATAAGGTTTTGAAGACTTAAAAGTAAGTCCTTTTTTTTCACATTAAACAGTCTTTCACTCATCCATCTCATAATACATTTTGACAAATAATTAAGTTTATTTCACTTTCAATAAAACTTAGCAGTTAAAAAGGCAATTTTATTATCGACAAATAGCTTTGATGTCCCTAGGCTATTTTAATTTACCGGTACTGTCACATGCAGGGATTGAATTTTGTTTGTTTAGATGAGACTCATGTTAGGATCAAAAATTCAATATATGTGTCTTTGTAGAATAGATGCATCTGGAAAAAAAACATACACTCAATGGAATTCAGTATCCTCCCAGTGTAGTATGTTCAGTAGTACAAAATTTGGTTTCTCTTCTTAATAGAAAATGCAAACTTGCTTACTTTTCATGCTTTTTTAATCATGCGTTTAGCTCCAACTTACCACTGTATTTTTCACATGCTTCTTGAAATGAAATTAGTGCTAGAATAATTATGTTGATATATTATGTGCTGTAGTATAGTAGAATATTTGAACTCATTGAATCCAAATTTCGTATAAAGCACGAAATGTGTTATATATTGAGAATTCTGAATGTTCTACTCTAAGTGGCTACCATATTTGCTCTGTTAGTAGCACATGTGCTTAGGAAAGAGGTGTGTCTGATCAAAATAAGTCTAATTTTTAATGATTTAATATTTGATGCATGTCTTCTAATAGTGCAAATACCTTATTTTGTTTGTCATTTCTGCAGGGCTTTTCTATTTATTGCTCTTAGTGTACAGTAACTTTATTATATTTTCCGAGTAAATGCTATAACTAATTTATGAGCCTGTATTTATCAGACTTGATTGTCTTTAAATGAATCATTTAATCAATTCACCATAACAAATTTGCATAAAGATGATAGTGACTTAAAAGGCAATAAACTCTAAAATTATGAACATTTGATTCTTTAGGACACCTTTTACATCTTTATGCTAATTGATGAATGTTTGATTTTTCTGATTTTATTCAACCATTTGTGACACTGTTTTGTTTTATGGTATTTATAAAAATTTGTAATTGATACTTTGAAAATAGACCACTTAGACTTGTTGATAATTGAATTGTCATCATTGTGATACATCAAGTTGGAGGGTCTTTTCAATTCCAAAAGGGGTACAGTCACACTCTTTGTGGTGTTTGATGCAATCAATACAACGTGTGTAAAGTACATTGTTTAAATGTGTGCTAGGTGGCCACTCTAGCGCTATAAACAAGATGTAACCATGATGTAAAAAAAAAACCCTAACTTTGATCATATAATTCCTATGTTTGTGATTTAATTGGTTAGTGTCTTTCAACTTATAGCTGCATTATTATTTGTTCTTCTCACAATGCATTGTGGGATTGATATTCAAATATTTTCATTATGTTGAGTAAATACAGAGAATATCTATACTTTCTTTTACTACAAACGTAGAAGGTACATTAGACCCCTTAGTAATGTGTTTATATATTTGACCTCACTGTTGCTTCAGTATTCATAATGTACATGTAAAAGAAAGTAACATAGTTCATAAGTACAGAAATACAGCAGCTGGTTCAGTCTGCCCAAAATGCAATTTCAACTTCAAACATTTTAACAATAATTTGGGTTTATTGCAGAAAAAAGCCATAAATGCTGACAATACATACATTTTGTTGTCATACCAACAACGCACGTATTTTGTTGTCATACCAACAAAGAATGTATTTTGTTGTCATACCAACAATGCATGTATTTTGTTGTCATACCAACAATGCATGTATTTTGTTGTCATACCAACAATGCATGTATTTTGTTGTCATACCAACAA